TCTGGCTCCATGCTCCCTAGTCTGATTGTGTTCCCTTTCAACTCCCAGGCAGGCCTGTATAACCCTGGCACCAGAAGCTACCTGAAGGAAGCACATCTGGAAATGGATTAGAATCCCCATTGGATTTCAAGAATGGTCCCACTGTGGGCTCTGAAGTAGCCCCAGATCCTGGAGCTCCTGCTGGGGCTGGAGCTACAGCAGGATGTGGAATCTTTGGGATTTTCAGGTGTCTGGAAGAAGCTGGGGCCTCTGAGCCTGCCAGGGTCACTGGGGACTCTTCCTGGGGTCTATAACCCCCACCTGAAAAAGAAGAGAGCAGCAGAACAGTGCTGGCAGCTAGTCTGTGTCGCCTCCCGGGCTCCTGCCTGTGCCCCAATACCTGACGGCCACCTGCGCCCACCTGGAGAGCGTGGCCTGGTTGCAGCACCGGCTGAGGCCCCACTGAGCAGAAGCCCGAGAAGCTGAAGCCACAACAGGAGGCCCAGGAAGGGGATGCCATCTTCACGGTAGCTCAGGGACGCCATGGATCTGTCAGCTCTCTGTTGCGCCCCCGTGCGGAGGGAGGCATAGTACCTGCCCTTGTGCTTGGCAGCAAAGACTCTCCAAGCATTGCCTGCTGTGTCCCCAGGCTGGGCGGGGCCTCGCGGGCCCAGCGCTGCTGTCCTTCATATGGGAATGAACCTCAGTGTGTCAAGAAGCCCATCGTTTTCCAATACCATACCCCCACACCTGACAACCTCCCACCATAGCAGTTTTCCAACTTTCTTTTTAAGGTCTCCTTGCTAAAATAATACCAATATTAATATCAACGATATAAAAAATGTAGCCGCAATCCATGTACACTGACTATGCATGGAACCACAGTCCAGGTCAGATAAGGAGTTATGCCAGTCCCCGTGAAACCCTTCTGTGTGCCCTCTGTGAAGCTATTTCCTTCCATTTTCAAAGGTAACCATTCATCTGAACTTTATGGAATTCCTTGTGTTTCTTTCGAGTTCTTGCTTCCTTGGACAATACACTTTGGTTTGACATGACTGTTTTGTATTTTGTATACCTGTACACACACTTATGACTGCACTTTTACCCTCAGTCCCTCACACCTCCTCTGTTGAAGACTCCCAGGCTGTTTGTCCCCCTCAAGTCTCCCACAGTCTGAACTTAGTAGGTCCCTCTGCCTCCTCTAATTCCTGCAAATCAACAGTGGCACTCAATCCCTGTCAACATTATAGCAGGTGTCACATTCTGTCATTAGGAGACACCATGTCTAGGTGGCCTCCTTTTGTGACATTACAAGCTCTTGAGGATCATGCTTTCATGCACTAGTTCAATTGAAAATAGTGATTTCTTTCTTTTTTTTTTCGCTGCAAACATTTTAATGATTATTGTTGAGCATACATTTTGGAAATTTTTTACTTCAAACTGCAACATGTTAAATAAGTGTTTATAATATACAAAGAAAATACAACCAAACATAAAACTTGCTTTAAGTGTGCCTTGCACTTAGGACCAGTGTTTTCCCCCGTTGATATATCTTTATTTTTGAGCTACACATACTCATTTAAGAATTTGATCTTTATAATATGGCATTTAGGAAATAAAAATATACTCCCACCTCAAAGAAATAAAAAGGTTGTGCATGATTATATGCCAAACAAAAAGAGAGAACACTAGAATACTCTGATAGTGCAGGCATCATTAAAAAGGAAAAGAAAAAGCTTGAGATGCTCATTAACTCTGTGTTTTAAGGAAGCAGTATTTTTGACCAAAAGTAGCTTAAAAGCCAGCAAAACAGATCAGTGATGGCAACTATAGTGTGTGGGGTATGAAATGACAAACTTTACACAAATACACTGTTAGAAATTTACCAGTGAACACTGAAGATCTGAGAAGCTGCTCTTTGGAACAGTCAAGTAGGACCACCTTATTCCAGTCACAAAAGCCCTTATAAAGCAACACAGTGTTCTGTGCTATATACTTGCTGGCTGAGTTGTTAAAGGATTGGTTTTATCATTAGCAGCTAACAAACTTATTCCACATGTTCTTAAAGCCTTAATGATGGAAACAAAGGCAAATGTCATTAGCGTGGAGGATCATACACTTCTCTGCACACAAACACAAGAGGCTTCACTAATATTTTTAAAGTCTCTGATGTCTCCCATTGCACTTCAAACTCAATTGAGATGAAAGCCTTTCTCCATTGTAGCAGCTAGCAAGCGTTCTCTCATGATCTCCTCTGAAGAATTTGAAAATAGTGATTTCATCCTTGTGCCATTTTGTGAAAAACTTTTAAAGATTTTGAGTGTTCACATATTTTAGAGGTTTCAATAATTGCAGTTATTATTGTTCTTGTGGAAGATTAGAGAACATGGCCATAATGTTTTACATCTCTGCCCACCTACAAATGGAATTCTCTTCCCCACCCTCAATGAATCTGAGCTGGCCTTGTGACTTGCTTTGGACAACAGAATGTGATAGAAGGGAAGCTGGGCACCTCCTGAACTCAGGTGCTAAACATCCTGGTAGCTTCTGCTTTCCCCTACCTGGACACTGACCTGAGGGCACCTGCTCAGCCTAGGGAAGGATGAGAGGCCTTTGAAAGAAAACTGAGGCACCCCTACCCATACACCAGGTAACCCCTCATGTTGGAAGGCCATCTGGGACATCCTGGGCCCTAATGAAGCTGCCTCATGGATGTAGTCTTAGGAATGAGCTCAGACTAGACAGGCAGAATGGCCTAACCAACCTTTGATACTGTGAGAAGTACTGTTGAATCCTGCTACTCACAGGAGTGAAGTTCTACAAAGCCATCATAATGCTGGATGAGCGAATACGTGTTCCTCTGTGAAGACACCCTCACTGCATACACTCTAGGAATTCACCAGATTTGTGGCCATCAGTACTACAGCTCATGCCTGATAAAGCCGCTCCAACATACCTGTTTCCTTTACAAGGCACATTACAGTCTTCTTGCACTTAGGAACACTAAGCAGTATTTCCATAATACATGTGGGGTGCTTTCAAACAGCAAAATTGCCAACAAAAGGCATAAAAGTGTAAAGAATGTGGAAAAAAAAGATGACAAAAAGAACACTTGTTTACAAAAGCTGAAAAAAGCAACAAAAGCATCACACTCCAATCTCAGCTAGGAGCATGTGCACCATTCAAGTGTTTCCATGGCTCTGTGCACATCCACCATGACCACAAACACTGTATTGACTTGGAGCTTCCAAATAAACCTCAGCCAAATAGTGAATTTGAAAATAAGAATCTTTAAATAATGAGGATCAACAAGAATATATTGTGTTTCAAACCACTGAGTTTGGGGTGATCTCTCACACAGCAGTACATCATTGACATACTTCCTGAAGCTTGAAATCTCCCAGGTAGTATGTGCTACACTAAGTTGCCTAAACACTGATATTGAGTTGTGTGCAAGGTTGATGAGCATGTCCTTGGGAGGTACACTTGTAAGGAGCAAGTGAAACAGAACCGGGCCTTAGGAGAAGTTGAGCTATAAGGCAGTTGCAACTGAGGTCTCCACTGATCGTACAAGAAGCCTTTCCAATTCATCCTGTATGTAGGGAAGGAGTCCAGGCCTTTCAATCTCTGCATACCAATCACTTGTTATAGGCTGTACTGCAAAGGGATGGCATCTTTAGGGAAAGTTTTGCAGCTGAGCACACTTCTTATGAAATTGCAGCTGTGAGTCAGTATTTGCTGCCCAAGGTAGCAGATGGGCCATCACAGGCTGCCCACTGATACCCTCTGGTAAGTGGGAGCTCTAGCAGTGGACAAAGGGTGGGAGGAGGCAAAGGTCTGGAGAATGATCAGCAGCCAGACACACAGCTCACTGGGACAGTAGCCTGGCAATTGAGAAGAGCCTGTGCATATTCTTGCTCTTCTTTCTCTCTGTCTCTCTCTGTCTCTCTGTCTCTCTATCTCACACACACACACACACACACACACACTCACACACTCACACAGGCACATACACACACAGTGAGCCCCTCCTTTCTAGCCTCCTTCCTGTGGGTCCTCTGCTCCTAAGGCCCAGCCCAAAGGTCATCCTGTCTCTGTAGAGCACCCCTGGGACAGGCAGCAAGGAGAGGTCCCAGGGTGTGTGAGTGTGCCACACACCAGCTTTTGACTCTCATGCTACCCTGCTCCAGACTATAGATCAACCAGAATTTGAAGAAAGGACATTGAGAAGGAAAGGGAGGTCAGAAGAGAGGCCTAGTGGGAGACTCAGAAATAGGAGGGGAGTGGGCCAGGGTAATCAAT